TTAATTGCCATTGTTAGCAATATCAGTTAACACGTTATGCATGGTGCTTTGCGTATAAAACTCCGTAGCAACACGTCCACAGATAAGTTGGACGGTATAGTGTGTGCGACTGATTGAGGCACAAATGAGAGGTAGTGCTTAAACAGTATAAAACTACATCTTTCCCTTCTGTTGATAAAAGGCGCAGCCATCTTGGATTCTGAACTCGGGATCCTCTGTGCTGCTCCGAGATATTTCTCAGATCTCCGAGAAATGGGAGCGCGTATGTTGTCACTTCCGGCTTCAAAACTCCGGAATACAACTTGGAATACGAGTTCCCAGGGCAAATGGAACGCACTAAAACTGCCCAAAATGGGTTGACAGAGACATTTCAGGGATTTGGAGTCATTCTGCGCTGCGGATGGATTAATTGCGTTAAAAAAATTTAATCAGATTAATCATGATGATGGATTAATCCGCGTTAACTCGTTAATTTCGACAGCCCTAGTATATATATGTATATATGTGTGTGTATATATATGTATATATGTGTGTATATATATGTATATATGTGTGTATATATATGTATATATGTGTATATATATATGTATATATATATATGTGTATATGTATGTGTATATGTATATATATGTGTATATATATGTGTATATATATATGTGTATATGTGTATGTATGTATATGTGTATGTATATTCATTAAAGAATAAAACTGAAAATACAAGAGATTATAAAAAGAGATATAAAAAGAGTGGCAATGAAACATGCATAAAATAGAAAGTGCAAATGGATATTATAGTTCTTGTGATAATTGATTGAATCAACACACTGACACTGCAGAGCTACTCACACTCAAAGGTGCCATCATCACCTACCCTCACTCTTAGACTTCGGAGCCCTTTTCAGTCCTGGCAGAAGACCAACATGTAAGTCCTGAGAAAGTGCTGGGTGATGCGCACTCAATCCCACAGCTGAACTCCAGTCAGTACTGAGATCTCCCCCTTCCTTTATACTAAATTTTGAGCATTACATGTGGGCAGGGGACGAGCTGGTCAGGATGCCCCCAGAAGACAATGCGTTCTCAAATTTCCAAATCTGTCCGAGCAATGCCGCCTGCAGTTTCAATCAGAAAGTTCCTATAATCGATGTATCCCCTCCTCCTAAGGATGGGGGTAAGCGTTCTACACACACTGACCAGCTAGGTGCAGTTCCTAAAATAATTAGATGAGTATCCTTGAGCAATGCTTTCCCTTTCTCATGAAGATAAGGCAGGTGTCTCATACACTGACCAATGGTGTACAGAACATATTGAGCAACACCTATCCCTGTCTTCAGCAAGCTCCTCCAAAACTCGGGAAACATGGTAAGCATCCTTGAATAGGGTAAGCATCCCAGAACAAGGATTCTTTCACATACGATAAGGGTATTCTGAAACCAGTCATTTGTGAAAAACAAGTTATATAAGTGATCAGAAAGAGATTTGGTATATGCTTATGTGGTTTTATCCTTAATACAATATTATTATAGGTGAGTCATTGACAACGTATTTGAATCTCAGGATGATCAGTCCATCAACCAATACTTCAATCACCTCATAAGTACAGTATGACAGTAACAGGAAGACAATGATTAAATCTAGGCAACGTAGTTGGCCGTAAGTGCATCCTAATACAGGCTGCTTTGCTGCATCTGGCACGGGGATCCTTGAATCTGTGCAGGGTACAATGAAGTTTCAAGGCTACCAAGGTATCCTAGAGCAAAAGAAAGCTCAGCCTCAGTCGCAGGTCATAGGTCCTCCAACAGGATAATGACCCAAAACATACAATTAAAGCACTCAAGAATGGCTGAGAAAAAAAACATTTGACTATTCTTAAATGGCCCTCTATGAGCCCAGATCTTAATCCTGTTGAACATCTATCGAAAGATCTGAAAACTGCAGTGTAGAGATGCCACACTTCAAACCTGAGACTGCTTGAGCAATTTGCTGAGGACGAGTGGGCCAAACTACCTGTTGGCAAATACAGACATAAAATGTATAGAAGCCAGCGTGGGATGTAGCGCCGCTGCTCTTTCCCCTATTTTCTGAAAAACTTCAGGCTCAAATCCCAGCATCCATGCAAGGCCGCCTTTTGCCTTAAAGATGCTGTGAGCCAACCATATAGACCTTTTTTATCACGCTATAATCAAGTTTTACTTTTGATATCCCTAGAGCTTTGTTCATCTCACTGATCAGGTTTTCAACAACTCTGTAATATCCTGCCTTTAGTTTTTATTGCAGGGTAAGTAGCATTGACAGTCCACCAGCCACAAAAAATATAGTGTCATCCTCTGCCAGTGAATCCCAGGTACACTAGTACTGTATCTCAGATAACCCCACTTCCCATTTACTGTTCAGATTAATCGGCTTAGCTAGTTTTGTCATGTAGCTTGATATGGTATTGTGCGGAAAAACGTCCATAGAAACATTGCTTGGGAGAGTGACGTAAAAAACTCTTTCCTCCATGGTGGTCTTTGCTGCATCTGTACTCCTCAAAAATTTGTGAAGAC